GTATCACCTTGATACCAAAGCCAGGAAAGGACACAATAGGAAAAGAAAGCTACAGACCAATATCCTTTATGAATATAGATACAAAAATCTTCAATAAAATACTAGCAACTGAATTCAACAGCACATCAAAAAAATAATCCATTATGACCCAGTGGGCTTCCTCCCAGGGATGTAAGGATGACCCCACTTATATAAATCAATAAATGTAACTCACTACATAAACAGGAGCAAAAACAAAGATCATATGATCATCTGAATAGATGCAGAAAAAGCAGTCGACAAAATTCAGCACTCTTTTATGATAAAAACCCTCAACAAACTAGGCATAGAAGAAATATATCTCAAAATTATAAAAGCCACATATGACAAACCCACAGCCAACATGATACGAAATGGGGAAAAGTTGAAAGCAGGCCCACTAAGAACTGGAACAAGACAAGAGTAGACACTGTCACCACTTCTATTCGACATAGTGCTGGAAGTCCTAGCCAGAGCAATCAGGCAAGAGAAAGAAATAAAGGATATCCAAATCAGGAAAGAGGAGGTCAAACTATCACGTTTTGCAGACAATATGATCTTATATCTAGAAAACCCCAAGGATTCCACCAAGAGACTCCTGGAATTAATAAATAAATGGAGCAAAGTCTCAGGTTACAAAATCACTGTACACAAATCAGTAGCATTCTAATAGACCAATAACATTCAACCAGAGAGTAAAATCAAAGACTCAATACCATTCACAATTTCTACAAAGCAAATAAAATACCTAGGAATATACTTAACCAAGGAAGTGAAGTATCTCTACAAAGAGAACTATGAAACACTGAGGAAGGAAATCGTAGATGATACAAACAAGTGGAAAAACATATCATGTTCATGGATAAATAGAATAAACATTGTTAAAATGTCCATACTACCCAAAGTTATTCATAAATTCAATGAAATCCCCGTCAAAATACAAACATCGTATTTCACAGATCTAGAAAAAATAATTCTATTCTTTGTCTGGAGCCAGAAAAGAGCCAAAGTAGCCAAAGCAATCTTAAGCAAAAGGAAAAAATCAGGAGGCATCACATTACCAGACTTCAAACTATAAAACAAGGCTATAGTAACCAAAAAGCATCGTATTGGCACAAAAATAGAGACATAGACCTATGGAACAGAACAGGAAATCCAGATATCAAAGTATCCACATATAGCCAACTGATCATCAACAAAGCAGGCAACAATCTGCACTGGGGAAAAGAATCCCTACGCAATAAATGGTACTGAGAAAATTGGATAGCCTCACATGGAAGAATGAAACAGGATGCATACCTCTCCCATTCGCAAAAATTAATGCAAGATGTATAAAGGATTTAAATGTAATGCATGCAGCCATAAAAATTCTAAAAGCAAATGTGAGAAAAACTCTTCTAGGTATTGGCCTAGGCAAAGAATGAAGCAAAGGAAATCACAGCAACAATGAAAATGAATAAAAGGGACTTGATTAAATTAAAAAACTTCTATACAACCAATAATTAAGAGAGCAAATAGACAACCTACAGAATGGGAGAGAATATTTGCAAGCTATACATCCGATAAAGGACCAATAATGAGAGTCTACAAAGAGCTCAAGCAAATCACCAAGAAAAAAATCAAACAACTCCATTAAAAAGTGGGCAAAAGACATGAACAGAAGCCTCTCAGAAGAAGATAGACAAATGGCCAAGAAACATATGAAAAAATGCTCAATGTCACTAATCACCAGGGAAATGCAGATCAAAACCAAAATGAGATATCACCTTACCCGAGTCAGAGTGGCTTTTATTGAAACATCCAAAAACAATAGATGCTGGCATGGATGCAGAGAGACAGGAATGCTCTTACACTGTTGGGGGGACTGCAAATTAGTGCAACCTCTATGGAAAACAGCACCATTTGATCCAGTAATCCCACTACTGGGTATTTACCCAAAGGAAAAGAAGTCATTCTATCAAAAAGACACCTGTACTCGAATGTTTATTGCAGCACAATTCACAATTGCAAAGATGTGAAATCAACCCCAATGCCCACCAATTCATGAGTGGATTAACTAAATGTGGTACATGCGTACCATAGACTACTACGCAACTGTGAGCGAGGATGACTTAACGCCTTTGCAATGATTTGGATGGAACTGGAGACCATTATCCCAAGTGATGTATCTAAAGAATGGAAAAATGAACACGACGCATACTAACTATTAAATTGGAACTAACCAATGAGCACACATGTGCACAGAGAGAAGTATATCTTAATGGAAATCAAACAGGCGAGAGTGGGGAGGAGGAGATGGGTGAATAACTACCTAACAAGTACAAGGAACACTCTCTGCGTGATGGGCCATATAACCAAAAACATTTGTACCCCCGTAATACTTTAAATTCAAAAAAAAAAGATGACTAAGATTTATAAAATAAGGGTGAGAATGGCAAAGTACTTTTTCCCATATTAATCCCAAAGTAATTTTTTCTATGACGATTTCTAATCTTTTTTTCCCCTATAGTGACTATTTCTATTCTACATCTCTATTTCAAATATCAAGTTATTTCCAAAAAGAACATTTTGTGGCTACAGTTGCTTTGACAGTGCTTTGTCTTCCCACATGTATCAGAATATCAGTGTTGAGGCTGTAAACTAAGCTGCACCATGGTTTTTAACCCATACTGCATTTGAGAACAAATCATGAGGCTTTGGGAAAAACAGATTTTCAAGACCCATCTTTGACCTACTCAATCAGAATCTCTAGGTTGTGCAACCCAAACATTTCTTATTTTTATGTACTCTATGAGTGATTTTGATGCAAAAGCGGCTCAAGAGCCATCAGGTAAGAGAATGCAAACATTATAGAAGACCGAAGGAGTCTAGAATCAAGAATCTGCTCAGTTAATAGAGGAGAGGAGGGCAGAGGAAGACCCTCATTCTTAATGGGGTATCTGCAGCAGAAAACAGGTCAGAGATGATATCAGAACCACCAGTAGAGCTTTTTCAGATGACCCTCTCATCCTCAGAGATGCTAATATCCCCATGGAGGAACACTGGGCTAGAGGATAAAATTCTAGAGGCTCCAATCAGATAAACACTGTCCATTTATTAATGAAGATTCTATTTTTGTTCTACTCTGAAGAATCACTTATTAATGTAAATAAGACCCTATACTTACCTATAATTGTACAAAATGTCATGTTGACGAATCGTCAGATGGAGCCTTTGGCATGGACACTCAGTTAGTAATGAGAATTTTCAAACCATTGACTAAGATGTTATACTGAATGGAGCACTACAAGCCTAGAAACTTATTTGTAGACCAGTTTCTTTTTTCTGTCATTCCAGACCTCAGCACTGTCTGTCAAGTCCTGTGAAAGTGACTCCCCCTTCCCGGTTCACCCCGGCACCGCCGAGTGCTGTACAAAAGAGGGCCTCGAAAGGAAGCTCTGCATGGCTGCTCTCAAGCACCCGCCACAAGAATTCCCCACCTACGTGGAGCCAACAAATGATGAAATCTGTGAAGCATTCAGGAAAGATCCAAAGGGATTTGCTGACCAGTAAGCTTCTTTCATCATAAATAGAACTCTAAGGCATAAAATATCAGAAATGAGTCTAATCTAACCACCTGCTTATGCAAACACCTTCTACAGCAACGTGGACAACTTCCAATTACAGGAACGTGACTGTCACCCAAGACAGCCCCATCTCCCTGTTGGTGCTTATTTTCGTGAATGCTTTTCTCAGAGATGAAATCAGCTTCCCCCAGCTCCTACCCACTAGTCCTAGTTCTATTACCTGAAGCAGAATGATTTGAGTCCCCTGTCCACATGACATATTGTCAAATATGCGAGAGCCCCTATTGCGACTTCCCTTGTGCTAGGGATCCTTGCATACATACGATAGAAGCAATTTATTGCTGTGCACATTTTAAATCCTTAATTTCCACTAAAACATAAAAAATCAACAGTTTTTCCTTCACTCCCATACATCCCCAGAAACATTTGTGAATATGACACGCATACTATATAAGTAACCATGTAACTTTGATATTCTAGTTGTTTAACATGCGTGAGGAGCTAGATTATACACTGATTCTTTATGTTACTTTTGGAAGGTCCTAAAAACAAACAAAAATGGAAGAAATCCATTTATTACAGTGAAAAAATAATACATATACAAAAATCAAACGTAACATCATTTAAAGTGGTCACAGTTTATAAATATTAGTCGGCTTGCCCATTCTTATACATTTTCAAAGAGGATTTTGCCCAGAATTAGAGTCCCTTTCCA